CCCATTCCTCAGACGACATGTCCATCCTGGGCCTCCTGCAGTGCCACGACGATGCCACCCGAAGGTTGCAGGAACAGCAACTCGTATTCCGCTTGGGAATCCTGCAGCCCAATGGTATCAATGTGGATTTCACAAGCTTCAAAATCTCCCCTCCCCCTACTGCATCCCAAAACCAGTCCAGCTCGTCCCTGCCTCCCTAACCTGTTCTTCCTCCCACCTATCCCCTCCTCCCACCTCAAGCCGCACCCCCATCTCCTACCTACTAACCTCATCCCACCCCCTTGACCTGTCCGTCCTCCCTGGACTGACCTATCCCCTACCTAACTCCCCACCTACACTCACCTTTACTGGCTCCATCCCCATCTCTTCGACCTGTCTGTTTCCTCTCCACCTATCCTCTCCTCTATCCATCTTCTATCCACCTCCCACTCTCTCCCTATTTATTTCAGAACCCCCTTCCCCTCCCCCTTTTCTGATGAAGGGTCTAGGCCCGAAACGTCAGCCTTTCTGCTCCTATGATGCTGCTTGATCTGCTGTGTTCATCCAGCTCTACACCTTGTTGTCTCGGATTCTCCAGCATCTGCAGTTCCTACTATCTCTGCATGTAATGGTACTTTCTATTAGTGTGAGCACCTGGGGCTCTTTGCTCTAAGCTGAGCATTGATATAGTGTGTTCCAATTCATGAATGAAATATTGGATGGCATGTAAATTAGATTGTACTTTCATTTAGTTGACAAATGTTGGCTGAATTTGGCAAGGGTTTTAAAAAATGTTTCCAACTCTTTCCGCCTGTGGCCCTCCCTTCCTTACCATCTTACCATAGATTTCATGGGCACTGTCCTAGGAATATGCAAACTGATAGGCAGTAGGCCATTTAGCCCCTCAAATTTGCTGTGCCTTTCAGTAGGATTCTGATTTGAAGCCTACTCCCCATAACCTTTTTTCATCTCGTCAGAGTGTCCTTCTTGTAAAGCATTTGTTTCCAGTTATCAGGCATTTTAGTTAAACTAATAAAAAATCGGTTTAAAAAAGGTTCTTGAAGTAGTAGCGATACTCAAATCTCCGGTATTGTCTTCATGCAAATTCAGTTTACTTTCATTTAAATAAACTGTCTGCTGATCCCTTTCTCTTTTAAATTCACGGCAGCTGAACCAACTTCGCACAAACAGCATCAGAAACTGGACATTTGGGGCCATCTGCTTTAGGGAAAGACGCAGCATTCAATGAGGCCATGCAGCCCATCCTGCCTCTGCCAGCTGTTTGAAAGAGCTGCCCAATTAGAACCACTCCTCTTACATTTAACTATAACCCAAATATTTCTCCTTTTGAAATATTTATCCCACTTGTCAAAACAGTCAGTTGGTGAAACTGAAGATGAGGAAATCGTTTTGCCGTTTGTTAAGGGATATATCAAGATATGTCAGAAGAGGATTGGGTCATTCAGCCCAACCAGTTCCATGATTCATTTAGATGATTGCTGATCATCATCCTAACTTTGATTAACCACTGTGATTCACTCACCCCAGAGATGTCCATGCCTGATAGTGATCTTTCAATCTCAGTCTGAAATTTCAATTGACCTCCAGCTTCAGCAGTTTTTTAAGAAGAGAGTTCCAGATTTCCACTTCTCTTCGAATGAGGAATTGCTTCCTCCTCTAAGTTTATGGTTGGGGGAGGCAATGGCCTAGTGGTATTATTGCTGGACTGTTAACCCAGAGACCCAGATAATGTTCTGGGGATCCGGGTTCAAATCCTGCCATGACAGATGGTGGAATTTGAATTCAATAAATATCTGGAATTGAGTCTAATGATGACTGTGAATCTATTGTCGATTGTTTGGGGAAAAACCCATCTCGTTCACTAATGCCCTTTAGGGAAGGAAACTGCCATCCTTACCTGGTCTGGCCTACATGTGACTCCAGATCCACAGCAATGTGGTTGACTCGTATCTGCCCTCTGGGCAATTAGGAATGGGCAATAAACGCTGCCTAGCCAGCGATGCCCTCATCCCGTGAATGAAAAAAAATTATATCCTCTTGTTATGATGTCACATCAGAAGCATGTGATCTTTCTTTGTTTACCTTCTGGGCCTAAGTCCCACTTTACATTCTTAAGTTATATCAACCCACAAATATCTATTCAGTCGGAAGTGCAAGCCAGATTTGATGCAACCTGTCTTCTGAATTTACCACTTCAACATAGTGTCATTCTGATGAGTCTGCTATATGCACCTCTGCAGTCCAGACATCTTTCATGACGTGCAGTGTCAGACTGAATACAGCAGTAAGTAGGGCACAATAATATGTCACTTTGTTTCTTTCTTAAGATGTGTCTCCTTCACTTGTTTGCGGGTCAGTGAGCTGTACTGACAGACCTGATTTGATGATACTGTTATTACTCCATAGACCAACGGAATTTGGGAATGTCAATGAAGGTGGAACGCTCAACTCTAGACCAAGTAAAGAAGCGTTTTGAGATCAATAAAAAGAAAATTGAGGAAAAGCAAAAGGAATACGATTTTGAGGAACGCATGAAAGAACTCCGAGAGGAGGTGAGAATTGACTGGGGTGTTGGTGGAGATGAGGGAATCTCTGTTATCTTGGGTACTTAATTGTATGACTATTTTTGTTTATATGTAGCCATATGAGCAGAGACAACTATCCCTCAGCCAACATCACTTTTCTTTTTAAAAAAAAAGTTGTCATAATGTCGCTGCTGCTTGGGAAATCTTGCTGTGTGTAAGTTGTTGTGTTTCCTATGTTTCAACAACGACTGCAGTTCAAAACAAGTACTTATTTGGATGCAGAGTCCTTTGAGATGACATGACATTGTGCCAGGTGTTATACAAATGTACATTTGTTCTTCTTGTTCAGAGGTGCATGCGGCCTAATCAGAGTGAAATAGTTAGCAGTTTTCCTCTTGTGTTGGCCTGATTTCATTGCTGGAATGTTGGTAGCTGTGCCTTCAGCTCTGGAATTCCTTCCCTAATTCACTCTGTCTCTCCACCTCTCTTGCACCTTAGAATCTGCATTTTTGATCAACTCCTCTGCCCTAATGTTTCCTTTTCTAACTCTGTGCCAAATGTTTCCTTGATTATGCTTCTTTGGAATGCTTTGGGTGTGTTTTGCAATGTTAAGGGCAGTATTTAACGAAAGTTGTGTTGTTGCAGGAAGAGAAAGCGAAGGCATACCGGAAAGAGAAACTGAAGGAGAAAAAGCGGAAAGCGGAGGAGGAGTTGACATTTGAGGATGACGATGAAATGGCAGCTGTGATGGGATTTTCTGGCTTTGGTTCGTCAAAAAAGAACAGCTGACCGATCCCACCAGACTGATACAAGACATCCCTTTATTGACTCTTATCTCTTTCCTGCCTCCCCTTGTGGTCCTTTTTTAATTCTGCCTTCCTCCCTCCCTCCCTCACCCCGATTGAGTGGAAATGTGAACAGCGTGAATGAAGATGCATTTATTAATAAAGGATTCTTCCGTTAAAAGTTACAACTGCCCCTTTCTCCAACACCTTTTTAACAGAAAAGTTTCAGCTGGATTTAAGCTCCAGGTTGCATGGCTTTTGGCTTCAACTATTCCATGTTTAAGGAATGGAAAAGGAGAAGCCATGAAATGTCTCCCATTTCCTGACCTTATTCACCCATGCAGTGAGATCTTGCTTGATCTGTATCTCGGTTAACGAACAAGAAATGAATGCACTGAGTTTGATGTGTGCTGATGTGGTTGATCACGTCCAGCACAACGTTTATGGAGGTACAGTTGGGCTCAACACCGTTTAGGATAAGGAGGTGGAAATCAGGCAGAGTTCCCACTAAGCTCAGTCAGACATGGCCACTTGATGGAGGGCTTCTGACCTGCACAGCAAGCAAACCAGAAATCCTAATGATTCATCATTTGTTTTTATTAAATTTGGCCCATTTCAAACCAGTTGAGATCCTTTATTATGCATCTTACAATTGACCAACTGATGATCTGAATTTAGGCCCTCAAATAATTCATTTAATTGTGACTGTATTTGTCTGTTTCTATGAGCGAGAGATTCAAACATTGAGCTACAAGAATGAAGGTCTGAAGTTCTTTTTAACTGCAAGACATTTTCTAAGCCTCTCAAATTCATTGCCAACTGCTGTTTTCTATGAAATTTGCAATCTTGTAAAATTTGAACATTGAGATATTATCATCCGTAGCAGATCTAACTGCTAATATTGTCAAGCTCTCCTTTGTGGTTTGATGTGTGTGGTCCTGACTCTCAAACAGCAGAATGCCTGCCCATTAAGTTCGCCAATCTCAGTCAATTGATTTCCACAACCCTGGATTGAATGTAGATGAAATAAATCAAACAGTGTATTTCCTGATTCTCATTGTGGAGTTGCTGCTGTTGGACTGGGGTGGACAAGGTCAGAAGTCAAGAAGACACCAGGTTATAGTCCAACAGGTTTATTTAAAATCACAAGCTTTTGGAGCGCAGCCCCTTTTGTCAAGTGCTGGAGCAGCACTCTGAAAGCTTGTGATTTCAAATAAACCTGTTGGACTATAAGGTGGTGTCCTGTGACTTCTGAGCTGATTCTCGTTAGCAACATGCATTGACCATGTCTGAAGTGGAACTGATGATGCTTTCTTCCCGATAGACCTCCATTTTTGTTTCTGTTTAAATGTACAGTATGTTTCCAATTCCCATTTAAAAGTTACGAATGAATCTGTTTCGGCAGTGAATTCCAGATCACCCTAATCTGGGTGTGTACAGAAAATAATGCTACTACTAATTCTGCTGTGGTTCTTCTGTTAATTGTTTTAGACTTATTTGACCTATCACCCAGTTTGGGAATGTTTTTGAGAACGATCTTTAAATGAAACGTTGATTGGGGCAATGGTCCTGTGTAATGGGGCAGGGGTAACGTTTATTACGATGTTTCTGGATTATGGAGGAAACCTGAGGCCCTTCTGTTTTGGAGAGTAATGAATTGCCCTGAAATTAATCATCCTGCCAGTCTAATTTATGCACCAACTTAATCAGAAAGCAAAACGGTGAATAATTTGTATCTGAATAGTTGTTTAAATGCAGTGAGAATTTCCTGTTTTGGATTTCCTTTTTGTTGTGTGCTGTACTCTGAAGTTTCTACTTGTGCTTTACTTTTTCTCTTTCAGTTGATACTTTCAAATACAAGAGGTTATTTTTATTTCACATTGTGTGTGTGAGCTCCATTAAAAGAACTGGGTGTCTCTGACCTGTTTTAATTAAAGATTATCAGCATTTTCAATTGGTTTTAAAATATCACCCTTAAAGAACAAGCAACTTAATTCTCAAATATCCCTCCTCAATATCTAATTTAAACAGCTTTCTGAACTTGTTCTGTCTGCCACCTTCAATGATTGGCATATAAAGTCATAGAGATACGTAGCATGGAAACAGACCCTTCGATCCAACTCGTCCAAGCCGACCAGATTTCCTAAATAAATCTAGTTCCATTTGCCAGCATTTGACCCATGTCATTTTAAACACTTTCTATTCATGTACCCATCCAGATACCTTTTAAATGTTGTAATTGTACCAGCCTCCACCACTTCCTCTGGCAGCTCATTCCACACATGCACCACCCTCTGTGAGAAAAAGTTGCCCCTTAGATGCCATCTAAATCTTTCCCTTCACCTTAAACCTAAGCCCTGTAGTTTTGGACTCGCCCACCCCTGGGAAAAGACCTTGTCTATTCACCCTATCCATGCCCCTCATGATTTTATGAACCTTTATAAGGTCACCCCTCAACCTCCGACACTTCAGGGAAAATAGCCCAGCCTATTCAGCCTCTTCCCTATAGCTCAAACCCTCCAGCCCTGGCAACATCCTTGTAAATCTTTTCTGAACCCTTTCAAGTTTCACAACCTCCTTCCTAAATCGGGGAGACTGGAATTGCATGCAGTATTCCAATAGTGGCCTAACCAATGTCCTGTACAGCTGCAACATGACCTCCCAACTCCTATACTCAGTGCACTGACCAATAAAGGCGAGCATACCAAACGCCTTCTTCACTATCCTATCTACCTACGACTGCACTTTCAAGGAACTGTGAACCTGTACTTCAAGATCTCTTTGTTCAGCAACACTTCCTGAACCTTACCATTAAGTGTATAAGCCTTGCCCTGATTTGCCTTTCTGAAATGGAGCATTTCACATTTATCTAAATTAATCTGCCACTTCATGGCCCATTGCCCCATCTGATCAGGATCCCATTGTACTCTGAGATAACCTTCTTTGCTATCCACTACATCTCCAATTTTGGTGTCATCTGCAAACTTACTAACCGTACTTCCTATGTTAACATCCAAATCATTTATATAAATGATGAAAAACAGTGGACCCAGCACCAATCCTTGTGGCCCACCGCTGGTCCAGTCTGAAAAGTAACTCTCCACCAGCACCCTTTGTCTTCTACCTTCACACCAATTCTGCATCCAAATAGCTAATTCTCCCTCTATTCCCTGTGATCTAACCAGTCTACCATGAGGATCCTTGTCGAATGCCTTACTGAAGCCCATGTAGATGATATCCATTGCTCTGCCTTCATCAATCCTCTTGGTTCAAACAAGTTTATCAGACACAATTTCCCACACACAAAGCCATGTTGACTATCCCTAATCAGACCTTGCCATTCCAAATACATGTAAATCCTGCCCCTCAGGATTTCAACCAACAACTTGCCCACCACAAATGTCATAGTTTCCTGGCTTTCCTTACTACTTTTCTTAAATAGTGGCACCACGTTAGTCAAACTCCAGTCTTCTGGCACCTCACCTGTGGCTATCAATGAAACAAATATCTCAGCAAAGGGCCCAGCAATCACTTCCCTAGTTTCCCACAGAGTTCTAGGATACACCTGATCAGGTCCCGGGGATTTATCCAACTTTGTGCATTTTAAGACATCCAGCATCACCATCTCTAACATGGACATCTTTCAGTATGTCGCTATTTATTTCCCCATGTTCTTTTGCTTTCATATCCTTTTCCATAGTAAACACTGATGCAAAGTATTCATTTAGCATCTTCCCCATCTCCTGCAGTTCCACATAGGTGACCTTGCTGATCTTTAAGGGGCCCTCTTCTCTCCCTAGTTACACTTTTTAATATAATCATAGAATCCCTAGTGTGGAAACAGGCCCTTCAGCCCAACAAGTCCACACCAACCCTCAGAGCATCCCACCCAGGCCCATCCCCCTATAACCCAACTAACCCACACATCTCTGAACACTATGGGCAATTTAGCATAACCAAATGACCTAGCTTGCATATCTTTGGACTGTGGGAGGAAACTCACATAGACACCGGGAGAATGTGCAAACTACACACAGGCAGTTGCCCAACGCTAGAATCAAACCCAGGGCTCTGCCACTGTGAGGCAGCAGTGCTAACCACTGAGCCACCGTGCCACCCCCATAACGTATTTGTAGAATCCCTTTGCATTCTCCTTAACCCTATTTGCCAAAACTATCGCACGTCCCCATTTTACCCTCCTGATTTCCCTCCTAAGTGTACTCTGACTGCCTTTATTCTCTTCCAGGGATTCACTTGATTTCTATTGTCTGTACCTGACGTGCTTCCTTCTTATGCTTGACCGAAACACACTATCTGTAGTCATCCAGCATTCCCTACGCCTACCAGCCTTGCCCTTCACCCTAACAGGAACATACTGTCTCTGGACTCTCATCTAATTTTTGAAGGCTTCCCATTTTCCAACTGTCCCCCCCACCCCAATCAACTTTTGAAAGTCCTTGTCTAATACTGTCAAAATTGACCTTCCTCCAGTTTAGAACTTTAACTTTTTGATCAGGTCTATCCTTTTCCATCACTATTTTAAAACTAATAGAATGATGGCCACTGGCCCCAAAGTGCTCCCCCACTGACATCTCAGTCACCTGCCCTGTCTTATTTGCCAAGAGTAGGTCAAGTTTTGCACCTTCTGTAGTAGGTGCATCCTCATACTGAATCAGAAAATTTTCCAGTACTTACTTAATAATTTCCCCTCTATCCAAGCTCTTAACACAATGGCAGTCCCAGTCTTTGTTTGGAACGTTAAAATCTCCTACAGATAACTAAGATTTTACAAATTTGTTTCTCAATCTCCTGCTGACCATTGGAGGTGGGGGAGGGGTCTACAGTATAATCACAATAAGTGCTCATCCCTTTCTTCATAGAATCCCTATAGTGCAAAAACAGGCCTTTAGGCCCAACAAGTCCACACCAACCCCCAGACCCATCCCCCTAATCTACACATTCCTGAGCACTAAAGGCAATTTAGCATGGCCAATCCACCTAGCCTGCACATCTTTGGACTGTGGGAGGAAACCAGAGCACCTGGAAGAAGCCCACACAGACACAGGGAGAGTGTGCAAACCCCACACAGGCATTTGCTCAACGGTGGAATTGAACCTAAGTCCCTAGGGCTGTGAGGTAGTAGTGCTAACCACTGAGCCACCATGCTTTATTTGTCAGTTGTACCCAAAAAACTTCCCTGGATGTATTTCCAGGAATATCTTCCCTAAGTACAGCTGTGATGTTATCCCTAATCAAAAAACGCCACTCCTCCTCCTCTCTTGCCCACCTTCCTATAGCATCAATACCCTGGAACATTAAGCTGCCAGTCCCATCCATCGCTGAGCTATGTATCCTGTAATTGCTATGATATTCCAGTCCCACCTTCCCAACAATGCCCTGTGTTCATATGCCTTACCTGTTAGGCCTCTTGCATTGAAATAAATGCAGCTTAATTCATCAGTTTTTAACTCGTTCACTGCTTTGTTCCTGCCTGCCCTGACTTTGATTTATTCGTTTTCCCAATTGTACCAGTCTCGGACTGATTTCTTTCCTCACTATCTCCCTGGGTCCCACCATCACCCACTACCCCAATCATCCCACTAGTTTAAATCCTCCCCAGCAGCTCTAGCAAATATCCCTGCCAGTATATTAGTCCCCTTCCAATTCAGGTGCAATCCGTTCTTCTTATAGGGGTCAATTCTACTCCAGAAGAGATTCCAATGATCCAAAAATGTGCATGCTTATTTCCTGTACCAGCTCCTTTGCCATGCATTTAACTGCTCTGTCCTCCTATTCTTAACCTCACTAGCTCGTAACATTCGGAGTAAGCCAGATATTACTACCCTCCAGAACCTACTTTTTAAATTCCTGCCTAACTTCCTATATTCTCTCCTCAGAGGTCCTGTACTTTTCTCTTCCTATGTCATTAGTTCCAACGTGTACAGTGACCTCCTGGTAGTCCCTCTCGCTTTTGCGACTATTCTGCATCCTCTCTGAGATACCCTTGATTCTGGCTCCAGAGAAGCAACACACCATTCTGATGCCTTGCTGTCGGCCACAGAAAAGTTTGTGCCTCTGGCTAGAGAGGCCCCTTTCACAATCGATTGCTTGGAAGCTGGCGTACCCCTCACTACATTAGAGCCAGTCTCAGTACCAGAAACCTGGCTGTCAGTGCTACATTCCCCTGAGAGTCCATCACCCCCTACATTTGTGTATACCTCAGGCCTCCTTTCACTGCCTTTTATATACAATTTAGTTCATTCTACCAAAATTAGTTTACAGTGACATTTGAACCCTCATTTACGTTATTGTCTGGGCAGGTCTCTGAATTAATAACAATGTATTATTGCTATATCCACAATGCATAGTGGTAGCAGTGTATATCATTGACAAGATGCACAACTTAATAAGGTTCCTTTGACCTCTACCACCTAGAAAAACAAGGATAGCAGATACATGGGAGCGCAACTAACTGCAACTTCCCCTCCAAGCCACACACTATCCTGACTTGAAAATACCCACTGTTACAGGGTCAATATCTGGCAATTCCTCCTGAGCAGCACTCTGTTTGTACCCGAATCACATAGACTGCATCACTTCAAGAACGCAGCTCCCGACCACCTTCTCAAAGGGAATTAGGACTCTGCCATAAACCTTGTCAGCTATGTCCACAATAAATTAGAAAAAACTATCATGGATCAATTGATTTGAACACATAAAGGTGGTTTAAGGAATTGGGTATAAATTTTAGTTTCAAGTGTCAAAGATGGAAAGTTCAGACTGTTATTGTTGACTTGGACAAAGACACATTTCCTGATTTCATTGCTCCACTTGATGATTCCAATAGTTATTTACAAGGATATCAGCAGCCAAGAAGA